AGTAAAAGCATCCCAGCTTGCACGATAATGTCATAAACATTAACATAATGTCATATGGAGACACGATTATCTCTACTCTGTGGTTAAATGTGGTTGTGAATGAAGGAGGGAAGAGATTCACAAAATTAAGGTTGAGACTTGGGTGTCGTTGTGGAAGTTTGGAGAGTGGTCGAATGGGTTGTTAACACGTATTGACAAGTTAGTTGGGTCTACGGTTTGGTCCGGTAAACCGCGGTCTAGACCAGACCAGACCAAGAGATCAAATCATAAAATAATACAGACCATGGACCAGACCAGACCATACTTCACGGTCTACGGTCCGGACCAAACTGTGCGGTACGGTTTGGACCACGGTTTTTCTAACGGTCTGGTCTATTTTCCCAGCCCTATTCAACAGGCCCGTCACCGTCATTCGGCTAATCGAAAACAGATAGTTCGATTATCGGTTAGACTGAAACTTACCGAAATCACCCTTAATAAAAATGTTATACATAACACATCAATGATAGAACTTCATGCTGATTATTTGGTCATACATTTTGATAGGTAAAAGTATAGATTATCTAGTATATTTACGAATATAAAATATGGAATGACAATATTATACTAGATGGAGGTGGATAAATATCAAGACCCGACCAACCTGTTGATTTCAAAAGTAAATAAAAACCCACATCCGATCACTTTGGTCATATCAAATGGAATTGAGTACTCGCATGTTCTGGATTCAATTCAATTGGATCTCTAGGTTCATGTTGTTGGGTTTCATGTTGTTGGGTCCCCAAACATCCTCCACCCAACATAAGTGCCCTACAAAATACAACATGCCGAGTGCTGGCTGATCAGATGCCTTTCTTTCTTCGCCCTATGAACATGGTGGCCACAATGTGACAGAAACAGGGAAGTAACAGATTCTGTTCTCTTCAACTTCTATAGTTCTGTGACACACTTTCAATGGGATGTCTATGGTTTTTCCATTTGACGATTTCTTTGATGGTTAATTAGTTGGAGCTCGAGAAAGGTGTTGGATCTGCGCGCCGCACAACCGCGCTTCTCAGCGGAGGCTACTTGGTTGTCGTTACTGTTGAGTAAAGAGAGGGGCAGGTGTTGGAGACGGGAAATGGGCCTCTAAGGCGGTCGCGTCCATTTGTTAGAACAACTTCCATCATAGATTAGGTATACAGGCATTCCAACCTATTTTAGTTGGAGCAGATCTCGGGAAGAACAAAGAAACAACGACGAAGGGAGAGCAAAATCGACGGTGGAGACAATAATTGATAACCCTTCTTTTAATTGTAAATTTTAAAATATATATTTTTATTGATATGAGACTGTTGTGTCAAACACCCTGACGGTACTCCTTAAAACTAAAAAGGATTTCATTCTCTTTTACTTTTCATGATTGCATGACAAGGCGCCGTTAAATTATTATTAGGTTACATCATTGATTAGACGTATCTCGTAGAATACTTCTCGTCATTAGCTCGTAGGCAAAACATATCCCCATATAACCAGAACTTATGGAACCATCATAACATCTCATGATAAATCATTGTTTAAAGTTTAAACACATCATAGGAAACCATCATATAAACACATCAATGTAATCTTTGTACAAAGACTCAATTGACATGTCATTTTTGAACCATCAAGTAATCACAACATAAGCAATCGCCATACAATTCCATGGTAAATTGCCATTTAAGCATGGCACATAAGTAATCACATAACCGCCTGTGATTCTCATTATTAATTGTCGAAGATTTCATAGATCATAAGGATTCAAAAGGTACAAGTCGTTGGCGAATTCATTCATCATATCGCATTGTTAGTATGTGGATATCACATTGTAGTCACACCTGGATAATCTATCACAATTTATCATATATGACGGCTTCATGATCCGAATACCATGTCTAACCACTGGAGATCTAAGGGTAGAAAGTAGTCATTGTATAATTGAATCTCTTTGTTAGAATCCTTAATCCAGGCGTGTACGTCTAGGGTTCGCAGATCAAGAAATTGATAGCTGATCACGAGAGAGAATAGACTTGAGGGATTTGGGGAGGCAGAATTGGAGATCAGGGATTGGGGAAGGTTGAGGAAGAAGTAAGAAGATAATCTCCCCTAGGAAGGAGAGCCGATGACAGCTAGAGTGAGAGGAGAGGGTCGACCGAGTTTGAGCAGAGAGAGATATTAGGTTTAGGGAATTCTGTTCTGTAATTGCTTAATTCCACTAATTCCATGATTACAGAATATATAATCCGATAAATTCCATATAACTACCCGAGATAATACCTAATATCCCTTAACTCCACCAACAATCCGAAAATACCCACAAATATCATCCAAAATCCACAAAACAATAATAAACTGACAAATCAGTCCAAATATCAAAATAGTTAGAAACTGGATTTCCAACACTTTGCTCATAAGAGTTGGATGGTGGTTAATCTGGACCCATACGATTACTGATATGTTTCATTTACCTAACTACTGATAGAAACCTACTGTTTCTATAATAATAATTATTATTATTAGGGTTTTTATTATTAAGTGTTTGAGTCATATTAGGATAGTCTATTAGGTTTTTCCAGTCTTCCGTTATAAATATGTACTTTGCGTTTTATTCTGAATCAATCAAGAAAAGTTTTATCAAAGTATCACTCTCAACCCTAATCTCTCGTAATCCTCTCAAACTCTCTTCTCAACCTATTATGGCCGCCGGCCATTCTATTCTTGTTCTTCCCCCAAATTCTCAATCTCAATCTCTATCCCTAATCTCTTCTCAATCTCTAAAATCACCATCAATCCCCAATTTCCCAACACAATCGATAGAACCCTAGAAATAGGTTTCTATCATCTGGTATCAAAGCATGAATGAGCTCGTCACAGCTCCACACCATAGACTGGCCGCAGTTGCAAGAGCGGCTTCGGTAGAACCTTGAAGAACTCCGATCCGCGAGGACGGAGGCAGTGGGGCACGAGCTGCCGCGACAGCAGCAGCCGCAGGTGACCGAGGCGGCAAGGCGGCAAGCTGCCGGAGGACGACGTGCAGGATCCAACGATCGAGGAAGAGAACGCTGCGACGGTTGACGCCGCGAAGAAGGCGACAGCAGCGACGTCGCTGGCCCGAGCAGCAGCGTCCGAGCGGAGGAAGAAGGACGGAGTGAGCGGCAGGGAGCCTCCTCGCGAGTAACCAGGGACGCAGGCGTTATGGGAGGAGGAAACGAAGAGGTTCGAGGTGGCGGTAGGCCGGGTTGCGTCGCCAGAGCTGGGGAAGCAAGAACCGTCGGTGATTGCGGATGGCGTGGCCAGGAAGAAGACGGCGGAGGAGAGGGGTGGCGGCTGCGTTCCTTTGGTCACTAACCCTAGGCCTCCTTCTGTGGGCAGTAGAAGTGGGCCTTTGTTGGGGCGAAAGGGTCAGGAATACAAGTCAAAGTTTATAATAAGTGGGGCCGCACAAAAGTCAGGGCCTGGGCCGAATACAGATCGGCAAAGTGGGTTGAATTGGGGAATGGGACGGGCCGAGCAAGGCCTAGGATACAAACCTCAAATGAGCTACTGAGTTAGAGGCCTTTGGTATAAAATAGGCCCAAAGACTTGGAAACAGTGGCGGATACATGCATGGTTAGGGGTGTCCCGGGACACCCCTAAAATTTTGAAACACGATTATTCAACATACGATAGTAATATGCGTATGAAAAAAAAAAAATGTTTAAGTGTTAGTGGGACACCTTTAAATTTTGGGAAAATTTATCCAATCTCCCGTAGTAGGTATAAATAATATTTAAGTAGTAGTTAATGTGATTTAAATTTGGGACACTGCCACTATTAGTTAATATATTTTCAATTACGCTACAACTCATTTGTTATTGTGTTTTAGATCCAAATATAATAGTAAAATGTTATTCTTATCTCAAATTATTTTCAAAACCTAACGATTAAACTCAATTACGGGATATCCTTGTCTATTAAGACATGTCGAGAGATATTTGTTGAGCAGTATAAACACCGAATGCATTTTATCATTTGATGAAACACGTCTGAACTTTTAATGAAACTTTTATTAGTTAGATATTTTTATATTTAATAATTATTTAATTCTAATATTTAATTTAACTTTTTATAGAGGACACCCCTACGAAGAATTCCTGGATCCGCCACTGCTTGGAAATACCATCATCTTGGTATTCCAGGTGGGCTTATAAGCACGCATGGTTCAAAGGCATTTGGGAAGCAAATTGGTGGACTAGACGCAAGAAAGCTCATCTCTAGTGGACGTCCAAGTCAAAGAATTGATCATGATTGGAAGAAAAGGAAGCGCAAGAATTGGAGAAGCGGAGATGGTGAGGGAAGGATGAAGAAGTGAGTTGAATTGATTAACCTTGAGGACAAGGTTGGTCTCAAGGGAGAGGAATTATTAAGTGTTTGAGTCATATTAGGATAGTCTATTAGGTTTTTTCAGTCTTCCGTTATAAATATGTACTTTGCATTTTATTCATAATCAATTAAGAAAAGAATTATCAAAGTATCACTCTCAACCCTAATCTCTCCTAATCCTCTCAAACTCTCTTCTCAACCTATTCTGGCCGCTGGCCATTCTATTCTTGTTCTTCCCCCAAATTTTCAATCTCTATCCCTAATCTCTTCTCAATCCCTAAAATCACCATCAATCCCCAATTTCCCAACACAAGGTTTCTATCAACTACACGATGTTAGGTATGTGTATGCACGGTTGCATATATCCTTAATTCTCTCGACTATCACCAAATCCTGTAAGCATTATCACTAGCAAGAAGGAAGGATTACCTTGTATAATTGAGGCTACCCTAGCTATTCCCGGTACCAGTAGTTCATCTTGTAAAGATGGTGATCAATAAGAGCTAGAAACAATTAAATATGTGGCTTTGGTAAATACATTGGAAATGGACAGACACATGCATTAAGGGGGAAGATGGGAGGTAGTGGTGACATGCATCTGATATGACATAAAAGGAGCAGTAATGAGAATGAGATAAGGGACCCTTATATTCAGCCGTTCAAGATATACAAAACATGAAATGGAAATCAGTAGCTTTAAGTCTACACAATAAATAAAAGCCAAATGAGAAAACTTGAAGCCCCATTTCAAATTTCCTGCATCCAGAGTGAAAGTAGGAAGGATATTTTGGTCTTCACAATTACTTTTTTTTTATTCATTAAAAAGACACTTACTAGGATTCGAACCATGGCCACTTTAAAGAAAAACAAAGATCATAACCAATCACACTAAGTACATTTGTTGTATCTTTTTAAATTAAAAACAAATAATTGCAGAGAGGAAAAAACCCTTCCCCCATTTCAAATTCTCTGCTCCATGAGCGTTTGTAGGAAGGGTAGAATAGGGAGTGTCAATTTTTTTCTTTTTCCTCTGTGGAACGAGCCAACTTACCGTACACATGCGGATTTAAACGGGTCCAGGAGTGTCAATTTTTTTCTTTAAGTACTTTTATTTCTCCGTGGTGGTAAAATATATATGAAAAGGCAAAAGCAATACTCCTTTTTATTGCTGAAAAGAAAAAAATTTAACAATAAACTAATATATGGATTCTAATGGGCTAACCGCTAATCATAAAATAAAAGAGTTGAATGGGTTTGACCTACACGGGATTTGCCCATCAAGTAAAACAAATGAACATCATGGGTTTGTCATTCTAAAACAAGCTATTTTCTCTAGCATAATATATATTATGCTATTATTTTATATCTTAGTAGCAAAAATATAATGTATTTTAAAGTTATTCAATGGTTCAACCTTGACCAACCGAATTAGTCTAATTTTTATCATTTTAAATATATATTATGTAATTATTTGATATCATAATGATTAAATAATAGTGTATATTATAGAAAATAATTATTTGATATTCAATGGTTCATCCTAAACATTTTCAGTTTCCTTTCGAAATTCTATAGTTTTATTCCCGAATCAATGATGTGCAAATGGTGAATTGCAGTCATCTCTTTTCTTTCATTATTTTTTATTTTCAAATAGAAAGTTTAAAAGTAAAGAATAATTAGAGTTTGGCATGGGTCGGTCAAACATGCTAAATTTCAAGTTTTCGCCCGTTTTTATCAAGTCTAATTTATAATTACATGGTTCCCTGATACCCGATAAAAATCTCAATCCAAACCAGTTTGGCAGGTAAGTCCGTGTTTACCACCATTTTCTAGGGATACAGGAACGGTGGTTCCTATCCCAAATCGTGTTGTTCATTCTTGATTTCTTTAGATTTTATCATGGCTTGGCAAAAAACAGAAAGCACAATGATGACAAGATGAAAGTTTTATAAAGCAAATTAATCGGCCAATGGGCCGAGTAAAAGCTAGCAACGATTGTGAGATGCTCATTTCCCAAAAAACGGCGGGATAGACGATTTTTTATTCGATTTTCTGGGATTCGGTTTCTATAAAACTTACTCCACCTCATCATATTACCAGAAACAATATTGTTTCACAAGGTAACAGGTACTTGATTTTTGTTCATAAGGCTGATTTTTGATTCATTGCATCATTCATGTCTCTTTCCTACTAAAATTCACTATTTTTGTCACGTGTTTCCCAAAAAAAACTATACAACAATAAGCTATACACCCCATTACATTATCAAATTTCATACCTCACATTCCTGAGGCCAAATGGCCGGGGCCCACGCTAGTTTCAGTAAAGCAACAAACAGAGATTGATTCCTTTCTTAGACAACTATCTCCACTAGTGGCAACGCTGTAACATATACACAAATTCTCTCAGTATAAGCTCTCGGTATCTACTCATCCACATTCGTGATTCGACACTTCAACTCTCGCTAACCGCGATCTCGTTTCCGACTGTAAACCTTGAGGTTGAGATCAAACATAGTCACTTTAAGGTCCTCTCGAGTCTGATGCCGCTCCACAACTAGCAAAACAAATGAATAATAAACCAGTTAGTTCTGCTCTATAACTTCCTAAGTAACATATTTATATCACCATTCACCTCACCTTCACAGACTGCATCAACATGCACCCCTTCACCAAGCACATCAGCAATCATCTCACCTTGACCGACTGCATCAGCATGCACCCCTTCATCAATCACATCAGCAATCATCTCACCTTGACCGACTGCATCAGCATGCACCCCTTCATCAATCACATCAGCAATCATCTCACCTTGACCGACTGCATCAGCATGCACCACTTCATCAATCACATCAGCAATCATCACCTCACCTTGACCCACTGCATCAGCATTCACCTCATCCAAGCCAACCACATCAGCATTCACAACTTTATCAACCACATTTTCAACGCCATCTGTAAGTTCCCTGATGATTAGAGCATTGTTCTCCAGTTTGGCTTTGGCTATCTTAATGGACTCTTGGGAAACCATTAAATCTGTAATGAGCTTCGCATTAAGCACTTCCAGCCTTTGGATCTCCTCAGTAAGATCCTTTTTTGTCTCCATTGCAGCAGTGAGTTCTTCAGCTTTACTATAATAGTAAACCACACATTAGTAATTAGAACCGAAGAGAGGACAATGATTTAAATACACCATGACAAAGAAACACCTCTTTTTGTTCGGTGGTGTAGAGGAGGCACTGCTACCACTAGTCATCTTGTCTAAGGATGACAAACAGAAGACCAAGCTGTAAAAAGGAGGAAACCCCAATATTCAGGAAGCTGAAAAGTGAAACGAGAAATAATCCATACGTGACAGAACAGAACAAACAAAAAGATTTCATTGAATGGCTACATGAACTGAAATATAGAAATCCCCTAGACTAACCTTTGCCAATTTCTACTAATCTATTCGTAACCCAGTAATACAAAGAGCACAAACAGAGAAATAATCGACTGCAATTCAGAGTAGTAGCAAATTGAATTCCTCAAGACCCAGAAGGACGAAAACCAAGAGAAAGGCGTAAACTTACGGACAATCAAAAATTCGAACCCTAGCACAATGGCCTAAGGAGAACCCAAGAATGGTCTAAAGAACCCACAAGATAAAAACAAGAACAACGTCTGGAAATTTTAGGATAGCGAATTTCCATGAATGGGAAGAAATTAGGGCGAAAATCACACTGGACTGAAGACAACAAATCAGTTTTCAGACCCGATTCTGGGATACCAATATCGCAAACTCATCCAAGGGTTTGGTAATCTCGATCGGAAATTGAAATCCCAAGGAAAATTACTATGTACAGAGAACACAAATCTAACCCATTGAGCGTTTCTAGAGTTTCGGAGAAGAGTAATCGTACCTAAAACGAAGCTGCGATGAGAAAGACGGACGGACGGACGGAAATCTCCGATGGAGCGGGTGATGAAGAAACTGGACTCCAAAGAGTTGGGTAATCTTGATCAGAAATTGAAATCATACTATGTACAGAGAACACAAATCTAACCCATTGAGCGTTTCTAGAGTTTCGGGGACGGGGAATCGTACCAAAAACGAAGCTGCGATGAGGAAGACGGACGGACGGACGAAAATCTCCGATCGAGGGGTTGCTGAAGTGACCGGACGCCAGAAGCGAAATAACGAGCGGGAAAAGTGAGTTCAAAATGCAACGCCTCGGTTTTGTAAGTTTTATCTGTTTCACAGCGGCCAAAGAGTAAGTCTAAAATATATTTATTTATTGTAACGAGTTATCAAATTAACGGACAATGCGAAATATTCGGGAAAATAAATTCCAGGAGCTATGATAAAATAAAATAATATTTAAACAACTCCACATAAATCAATTTTAGTCCCTCCGTCATATCACGTCACGTCCCGTTACCTTTTTCCCACGGCAGAGTTAATTAGCTCTCTTTTCCCTAAAAAGGAGTAATTACTTCATTATTAATTTTAATAGGTACATTAATAAACTTCGTGTATGTGAAATAGTAATATACCAACAACAATTAGGGGTGTTCAAATTGTTACCGTGGTAATAACCAAACCAATTAGGTCTATATTTCATTAACCGTGAAATAAAGTGTCTTAACCAAACTGTCCAAATTAACACGAAAAACCAAATTAACCAAACCAAAGTTTAATTGGTTTGGTTAATCAGATAATCGGATTAACCAAATAACATAACCATGATTATCATCATCATTCATCATCTTTCCGCCTAATATAGTTAGCTTACAACAAACCCTTAACATAAATATTAAATACATACCCATACCACTCATCATGCAGTTAAAGCTCTCCTAAAAAACACTTAAACTATACATAGTTTGAGGTGGCTGTCATGTTATTCTACGTAATCCTAAAGTCTAGTAGCTGTCCAAAATGTTTTGGTTTAGTAAATAGGCAGACCCATTTAATTTTGAAGCATAATGTTTTGGTTTGTTGTGCACATGAAATAAAATAAGGATTCACGAAAGTTTGGTTTGGTTGGTTGCATGGAAGTATAAATAATTTTGTATATTAGGTGTATCATTAATTGGTTAATTGGTTTCATTGGTTAGCAGTGTTGAAACCAAACCACCTAAACCAAATAAGCAAAAAAAAAAAAAACTAACCAAACCAATTATTCAAATTAACCGAACCAAATTAACTGAATGCTACCGGTTAATATGGTTACCATGATAACCAATCCGTTTGAACACCCCTACCAACAATCGGAGCAGAAAGCTATTTTATTAAAGAGTCCAAATTAGCATGAAAATTTACGAATATAAAACTATTAAATCTTAAATTACCATTTAAACACAAAATATATCATTCCATTAACTGATCCGATACAACATTATATACCTTTTTACAATATTGAATAAACCACTCAGAAACACTATTTTGACACAACTAGCACGAACTTAAGGCTCTTAACTTGTATCATAAAAAGGATGCAAAAAGAATAGACTATGTTTTGTATAAACTCCATTAAGTTGCGCTAGCTCAAAGTCTTGTTCTTGTTGTGCTTTAAACCTAACAGTAGTACTATTTATCTGTTACATGTATCGATAACTCCCGTTCGATACATTCTTATATGTTACATGTGAAGACTTACCTTCCATTTAGGCTCACACAAGCATATCAATAACTCCCGTCATTCACCCTCTCTGCCCCGCACCTACTACTTCATCTCCATAGTCTTTTTCCATATTCACGAGCTTACTAAGGCATGCTTCTTGTTCCAAACTGAGTTTTTCTTCACTCTAAATCTTCGAACATGGCCCTCTTGGATTTGGGCAAGTCTCTGAGAGGCAAAAAAAAGAAGTCATTAACATGGGAGCGGTTCGAGCGATTGGATCAGGAGAGAACACGTGGGTGGATCAAGATCCCTGTATCCCCTTTTTGCAAAATTGTGCTCTCAGGAGCGGCCCCCAAAATCATTGGAAAGTAAAAGAATAGATTGATCTAGAAGACGGGAGCTGGAACTCATACATTATTCACGGTCATGTCTTTAGCACGGAACTTGAAGCGGTTCTAAGGATTCCTATCGGAGAGGAAGGATCTAAAGACTTGTGGGCTTGGAAGTTCACGAAAGAGGGAAGTTTCTTGGTGAAGACAGCTTACCACGCTTTTCACAAAGCTAACACAAATTTTCGACCAGATGGGAACACAGACAACTCGAAATGGGTATGGACTATGGAGTCTTCACCTCCCTCCTAAACTTAAATTTTCATTGAAGGTGCTCCGGGAATTGGCTGGCAACGAAAGAGGGACTTTTTCACTAAAAATGTGCTCCTAACTCGACCAAGTGTGCCAAAACCCAAACGAATCCCTTCTCCACTGCATTTTCAATTGCCTACATGCCAATGAGGCATAGAATATTTGGAAAGCTAGGAATGAATGTTCTTTCAAGAATAGAGCTCTGTGGCCCCGAATGTGTGTATGCAAACATATAGAGAGCTTAATGAATGGAGTTTTTGCCCGAGGTCCCCCACCTCCCGTACCTACCTATCCATCCCAGCTCATGGGATCCCAGCCTCATACGAACCCCCTGCCAAGTAATCACTCTTCCGTGATTCACTGTGATGGGTCGTTCATTAATTAGCGACTCTCAGCCTGCGACATATGGTGTTGTGGTTGTTAACCACCATGGACAAGTGTTTGATGAGCGAGCTGAGGATCTTCTTTGTTCTACCCCGATTGAAGCGAAACAAAGGCTCTTTTGGAAGATATTAAATTAGCACAAGAATATGGATCCAAATGCACGGTCCAATCCGACTGTCATGTGGTGATGAAAACTTTGAATCAAAATCAATCAAGTTTACCTTGGCATTGTGCTTCCTGGATTGGCTCTATTGTCATAATTCTCAGGACAAACCCTTTCTTTATGGTCAAGGAGGTGCCGAGGGCACTCAATGTCCGAGCCGGGTTGCACGTTTGAAGGCTAGAGCTCTCTTCCAGATAACTGAATTAATATTAAAAATCTAATTTATGATCTTATGTAAGAATGTAACCTGGTTTTTCTTTCGTTCGTTTGTAGAATAAAAGTTGAAATTATTGTAAAAAACAAATATCTTTGAGTCCACGTTATCCATAGAGGACCTACTTTGCCAGAATGTCTCGTAAATACTCTGTAACATAGGCCTGATTCCTGTCTCATCAGTACAAACAAATTCATTATCTTTTAGTTAGGGCCTTTTCTCTCCTTTTTATTCGTTTCAAATTCCATTGCTACGTGGTTACAGTTAAAAAATAACATTTCCACTGAGATTAATGATTCCACAACCTTAATTGAGCATTTCCATAGTCAAAAAAAAAATTGAGCATTTCCTTTTTATGTACAATAAAAAATAACAATTCCACCATTTTAATTCTGTAATTGTGGATAAATAAATCTCGATTTCCCTCATTTTGTTATGTTTTGGAAATCCGACCTGTATTTGCCACCTGGGAATTTTTTCCCCCGTCCATAATTTTGAAAAATATGTCCTTTTTACCCTTTAGCCCTGCACTCCACACTCCATCCTCTCCACTTCCATTTTACAGCAAAAATGGCAACTGGAATAGGAAATCACTGTTCAATTTGATCGACCTGGAAGGTAATAAGCGATGGAGAACTTTATATATTATTTAGAAGAATCCAATGTACAACTACACAGATCTTTTTACATTTCATAACAATTAAACATATAAATTATATTAGAACAGGAACTTGGCTAAATAAACAAATAAAGTGCAGCGCCTAAAACCATGACGCAGCCAATAATAATGAAGGGAAGGGAAGGTAAGGACACTAGATTGGACACTCTTTCTCTCTCCCCATCTTGGGATATAGTCATATAGATCGATCGATCCTCCAGTTCATCAGAACTCTACCCTGATCACTTTGCAGATGAGATTTTCATCCAATGGGCCGCAATGCTTACAGCACGAACTAGCCTTTCACCACCTTCTGCTTCTTAAGCCCTTGGTCGGTGATGCTGATCTGCCTTTCATCGTCTTTTCGTCCAGCAATTAACCCTGAACACTGCATAAGCGGAATGAAAGGTGCCATGCCACCATGAGAATAGGAAAATGAAAAGAATTACACATATAAACTAGAGTTCAGCACGTTATTAATAGAGTTCAGGATACAAGCCAAGGTGCAGTAGTGTTCCCAAAAAGCACCAAACTTCTAAAGTGATCAGAATGGAAACAGATACAAGCACTGAAGCACCAAGTATGTATTTCTGCTACTAAACAAGAGACACCTTCCTTTATTCTAACCATTAATGGACTAGTCTCTATGGTGTGGTTGCCGGCACAATGATTTCTAAGGGAAACTTCCTTTCGGACTGAATTGTTTTCATTTAGCCAATTCCTAAATCCTAACAGAGATGCAAGCAAATGCAGCAAAGGAAGAACACATTTGTACAAGCATAATAAGTATATTATTACCAATCATTGATGGAAAGAGTTGCTGCTTCACTGCTGCTCTGTTGAACCCAGCAGCCATGACTTCCATCATATATACCTCGGAGTTTTTCGTACCTTGGAATTGGAGTAGGCCAGCAAGAGACCCTAGGCTGGAATCTAGGTACAAACTGATCGAAGAACTCTAGTTCTCCCGTCTTCATATTGTAGGACACTATAACCCTATCCAAACGACCATAAACCCCAAGATGTTCAAAGAAAGCAATATGCGGCTTCTCTGGATGGAGAGAAACTATATTACAGTCCTCAAGTTCATAGTCGCACCTGCTTAATGTCCTTTCCAACAAGGTTTCATGCTGTACACTCCAAGTTTTACAGTCTTCTTCCAGTCTCCAAACACTCAAAAATGCAGGCCTGGCTGAAGGTTCACGTGAAATCAGGTGTAAAGCACCTTGCGAGACCGACATGTTCCAGTTCCCCTCGCCGAGTTGAGGAGCATCGAATAGTATGGGAGGTATGTCGAGGCGGAAAGGATTAAACCCAGCAATCACAAATGGATTAAGCCCATCAAGGCCGGAATTCATACACAACCAAAACAACCCTCCGTTGCACGATGTAGAAACTACATTAATATTAGACCATCTAAAATGCCCTTCAAGAACAAGAGGCTCCTTCATCCACTCTCCAGACTCCGAACAAAACACATCTATTCTTATCCGCTTGTTCAATTGATAAATGCACACCACCCGGAACCGATACGCCGAGGAAAAAACAAATGGTGGTCGGCCTTCTCCCAGATCAAGTTTGACATTAGAACTACAACTACGGGGCTCACAAACTAACCTTGCCTCTTTTAATCCAATTGCCGTTGATGGGGTTTCGGGCGCTAAAGGAAGGGCGATCCATTGCTTCGTAAATGGATTGCACACGAAGAGAGACCTGCAGAATTCGTCACGAATTTCACGTCCCTCGTGAAATCCGCACAAAACCAAGTCCTTGTAGCAATCATAAACTCGGAAATAAACAGGTTCATAAGCTAATCCATCAGGCAGGGGGAGGAAGCTCAAAATTGATTCCCTGGAGTTGGAGGACATCAAAGGCGGTTCTTCAAGTTCGCCTCCGCCGCCGTATTGGTTGGAGCTGCTCTGTTGGTGGTGAGAAACGTAGCGGCGAACGAAGTGGGTGTCGGAGATCAGAGAGTTCCAACGCTTGCAGACTGCTTTGCATCGCCAGGCGGATCCAGGTTCCGGGGCTCGAATCAAAACCTCTGCCAGGACATCGTCTCCGAGTTTACTGATCGGAGAAGGAGGGGTTACTTCTTCTGAAACGTCGATCCGCCGGCGTTTCATGGACCGGCAAGGGCGGAGACCTAATCTTAGCTGTAGATCCAAAGCCGGAGAGAATGTGCAGTTCTCGGTCGCCATGGCGACGGTAGAATAACAGGATGGACACGAAGATTAGACTCGCCGCCGGCGAAGAAGAAAGGATGCGGTGGTTGATGGGAGCGAAGAAGAGATCGGAACTCCTGCTATTTGAATAAATGATGATTTGGGAATTCAAATCCCGAATCTAGCACGGATAAGGATTAAGAACCGAGTTTTTTTTTTAAAAAAAATCTTCGGATGAAAGTTTTGGGCCCCCATTGTGAACGTGGCCTATTTAATTCATGGGCTGGGCCGTATTTATACACTCTCAAATCTTCAACCTCCAAACGGCCCGTGACGCTCTGCTCCTGTGACCTGTCGCCTCGATTAGTATCGGGTTTTGACTTTGTTTTATGGAGCATAGTTAGTAAATACTCCGTTTAATACACGTATATGTACTCGTACGTACTTTATTCGTTTAAAACTTTCGTATCCGTATTATTGTCAAGCCGTTTCATTAGTTTCCGTTCATTTGACGGCTCCCGTACTAAACACGTATAAAATCTGTATAACATGTTTAATATCCGTATTTAATGAAATAAATTAATAACTTTACTATTTTTTACATATTTATTTATTTATAAAAATAATTAATTTTATATATTTATGACTACTAACGTACTATTAAACATAATATTAGCTAAGATATAAAGTATAATACCCGTACGTATTTTATACGTAACTTTCCCATACCATATTTTACTAACTAAGTTATGGAGTCGTAGTATAGTTTAGCGCTACTGGTTGTACTTGGTGATCTTATTTTATCCTATTTATAGAGTGATCGTAATGATAAAAAAAAACTTTCAAATGAATTTATATAGAGTTTTTTATTTATTTATTACAATTTATATAGAGTTAGCACCATACTAACTAGCTTCTAAATCATTCACCCATATTTTAGATCGAATGATTATTTTTTTTATAAAGATTGAATGATTATTATTAAACAGAGAACAAACTAAGAAAATAACAAATTTTTATAAAGCGGAAGTTAATGCTTTTCAGAGATAAAAATATAGTTTATTTCTCTCATTTCTTACTCAAACACATCTCTCTAGTGCAGTATAAATGTATAATACTTCCTCTGGAAGAAACTACTACATCGGGAAGCATTACTTAAAATTGCTACTAAAATATTCTTAAGGCCAATATCACCTCTTCTATTTCAGGTTTGTAGTGGTGATTTGATGCATGGCGTATTGATTTTGTGGTTTATTAGTAGTGCTTTGATAATTATTTAGTAGAAACAGTACTATTATACTTATTAATAATCATAAATCACTCCTAATATATAAAAAGCAAAACTATTATCCTCTAATCCATAATTGCATGATCCATAAAATCGCTAAAAAAAATCCTTAGTACTACCATCATATAAATAAAAAAACCGTGTACATATAAAATCACTACTAATACATATAAATAACAAATAACAAAAGTGCTAACAAAACAAATTTGTCAAAGCTTCCTTTCCTTCCTGTTCCAAACAACACAAAAAAATAGGCAAACAAATATGCCCAAACATTCCCTTATTTTCTTTAATCGATGTGGTCCGCCTGCCGACGAACTTCTTGAGTGTTTTATTTATGGCATGAAACAACCCGAAGCATGAGTCTAGCTCATTTAGAATTTTCAGAAATCCCACTTGAAGATATTTCATTTTTCGCTCATGAGTTATGTCCCAAACTGAACCGAAAATGGGGAAAACAAATATGTCCAAATCTTGCTTTACTTTCTTTCGTTCATGTCCCAAACGGAGCCAAAATGGGGATTAAATGCACCAGTTGTCAGTCACTTAAGCATAACGTATGTTGCACGTTCATCACCTACTTATTTTTATTTCAACTAAAAGTTATGCGGAATAAAAGAAAAATCGTGACTTTCAAATTTTTTAGCACAAACTTATGACCGTCCAGAGTTTGGCTAAATCGAAAAGGTGTTCATTCGGGGTAGAAAACGACGTTTTTTTCAAGACGAAGGTTGGCAGTTTACGGCTTGCAAGATCTCGAAATGTTAAGCGGGATAAAAATAATTGCTACGATCGAATACCCGAGCGAAAAATTACGTTCGTTTGAAGTTTCGGCCTACATTAGGCATTGATCGGAAAACAATTCATGCAAATCATGGGGGGGGGGGGAGCGATTACACGTTATCCGCGTCTTCCCCTCGGTTTATCAGAACGCACCGACACCATGCGGTCTTTTGGCGACAAGAAGGTGGCGTGGCGGTTTTCACCTTAACCTCCGGTTGGGGTGACATTTTATGGGAAATGGTTATATTTTTGGGAATTTTTGGATTGATGGTATTTTTGGAAAAAAAATTTGCTTGGCATAGTTGAAAATTTTCCTTTTTTTTCTTAAGAAAGAAGTAGGAAGAAGGGGATGCTGCCAGGGAATGAAATGGAAGGCAGAGAAACGTTTTTTCGTAAGTGTTAAATGCAAATGATGTAAACGGAATAATTGCAAATGATGTAGAAGAGAATCCAAAACACCCTTTCCCTAATTACAACCGTACGATTCTACTGCTCTATCAATGACTAAGAAAAGAGTGGTGATATTCATAACCCCTTAGCAGTTTTGATGTAACTCCTTATCGTTTGGTATAAATAAATTGTATAAGCGTTGAGTAATTCATTTTGAAATGAAAATTTTATGTTTTTGGTATTTAAAAGTATTTGTGCCACGTTAATTCACGCCTTCCAGCTATGCGCCTTATATCTTTCCTCTCGGACAGGGCTACACACCTCCTTCATGCACACACGGGCGCACAGCGAACCCCTTTGGGGCTCGTTAGCACTCCGACGAACAAGATAGAACTAAGGCTTTAGAGAGGGAAGTGGAGAATAGTTTTTAGTGAGAGAATCCAACGTGAGTAAATGAGCTCCACCAACTCTACTATTTATACTCGGAGCCTTGCCGACCGTTGCCCCCCAAATCCGCCCTACGTCATCACCTAATTAAATGCACTGTACCTTCATCCTGTCAGGCGCCTCGACCGTCTGACACCGTGCCTAGAGTCCTAAGGCGCATGACCTCAGTCGTTAATCCCTCCGTACGCTTCCGACCGTTATCTCTTTTTGTCCACATGCGCTTTATGTCAGGTCCGGCCACACTCCCTAGGTCTGTTCTCATGCCCCCCTTAGGCTAGGCCTTCCCTTTGCTGGGCCTATGCTTTAGGCCCAGTTCGGTCTTTTGGGCCTCTCCACTGGGTCTTTCCATGCCCCCAACAAAAAGAATTCATTTTGAATTCTAATATTTTGAATTCTACGGAACTGGAACTAATTATAGCAATTCCTAGGAATTGAGATGAAATTTCGAAATGAATTATACAAGTATGTACTAATTATAATAAAATGGCATAATTATCCTCATTTATTAACTAAATTACTTCTACATGTATTATTGAGGAACGTCGACAAGAATTTGACGGCAACGCCATTAGCAGATGTTGGTTATTTGATATTACTGCTTCAATTGTATCAGTACGTTGAGAAGACACAATTAGAGTGTAGGGTTCATCGACGAAATATTTAAAAAGAACTAATGAATAGAATAGAAACACACAATAACACTTTCGATATTCTGCTTATGAGAGCAAAAACATTTTTAGAAGTGTTGAAAGTATAAGTACCATAATGTAATTGTGCATATTAAGTCCTTAGTCTTAGGGTTTGGTAATCCTATATATATATATATATATATATATATATATATATATATATATATATATAGTGGCTACTTCGGTGCACTCACTTTTTTGGGTGCATTCAGTGCACCCACCTCTAAAAGTTGTCATAGTACATCAAATTTTGAAATTTAATGGGTTGCATTAGTCTAATATGATGATATAACACACAATCACAACTAATCAACCCATTACCCTAACCTATTAACCTTCAATTTTGAATCTCAACCAAAAATCCCAAATTGTAAACCCTAACCCTAACCCTAAATTCCTAAACCCCGAATCATTCAAATTAAAGTGAATCTTGAATGATTTTTGTACAGATTCATGTGGTTCTTGTTCATCATACCACAAGTGATGATTGACATCGTTTTCACATGAATCGCCTGCTCAGAATGACGATTATGAGGCGGGTGCATTGAATGCACCCAAAAAAGTGAGTGCACCGAAGACATAACCATATATATATATATATATATATATATATATATATGTATATATGTAAATGGCTCGTGTATGTTGTGTAACATGAATAATAAGATTGACTTGTATGGCTTGCTCTCCTGTGGACTAGTTCTGGTGATCATGGAAACCACATTAAACTCGGTGTTCTTGTTCTATTGTTTGATTTTGACATGGTATCAGAGTCGCTCTGATTCAAGGGCTGATTATTTCTTCTTCGGCAAGGTTTGTGATCTCGGTTTGGCAACTAGGGTTTCTGTTTGGGTGTCACATTTGGTGGCCGACGATCGTTCCTCCTTAGCGTTGGCTTTCTCGACTTTGATAGGTGAGTTACCCTTATGTTTGTGCTTTGGTATTGCTTGCTTCTTGATTTGGCTGCTAAGGATGGGTTCTCAGAAATAAGACAGTGTTTCAGTTAAGTTTGATGGAGAATTTTTCATTATGGGAGTTTCACTTCAGAAACTTTGTGGAAGGGCAGCGACTGTCCACGATTTTGATAGGAGAATGGAAGAAACCGACTGACACCGCCGATGATTTTGACAAGAAGATGGAATATAACGAATATTGTTTATGCAGGAAATTAATAAGGGTGCAGTCGATTTTTTTTTTGTTTAATTCAATTCTAAACGTCTGCCAAACATGGTTTGGGAATTGAATTTATTTTATTTCTAAAGATTTGAATATGACATACTAAACACAAG